AGCCTGGGCCGCTGCAGCAAGGACTCGGTACATGGTCGCCAGCTCTACAAAGTGAGCTAACTGGGTGCCCATATATTCCTATTTAAATTAACTAAACCCAGTCCTCTTGAAGTGGACCAATAATGACTGGATGAACAGAAAAGCATCAAAGTTCTTTTTGCGTTCACATTGTCAGTTCATTTGAAAGAGGACTCAAGGGACATATCTCTCTGCTCACACTATAGTTACTGGAGCTGGATTCTTTGCTTTTTCTCATTTTACCACGTGTGTTACAGTACTTTTGATGTTTTTTAATATGCGGCTCTAATAAAGCCTCTCACTTTCAAATGTGTTGGAAACATTAGTTTTTCTGTGCATTGAGTTTCTGCTTCATGTGTTATTATTCTTATAAATATCATTAGAGGCACTAGGAGGAGCCAGAGAAACCTGATTTTTTCACAGATTATCTGTCTCATGTTCTACTGCCAGGATATCAGTAATATATCCGTAAAAGTGTAAGTTTAAAAAAATATGACTTTTTTTTTCTGCAGCTTTAAACCTGCATTCTTTTTAATGGCCAACAGGGGGAAGATCCATGGGCTGCAGAATAGAATTTATTCTGAAGTCTTCTTCCATACAGCATGATGTTCATTTTGTAAATTATGGTCCCATTTAGAGGAAAATAGCTAAAACAGAGTATGCTTTAGGAGTAGCTATCTTGTAATTGACAGGTCATTCTCAGCGAGTCCATCCAGCTCTCCTAAAATCTTTTCACAAACATATTTTAGTGTGCTTTTTATCTGTAACTGAGGACATGTGTGACCAGGCAATCTGTCATATTTTACTGCTGTGGATGAGTTGAAATCAAGAGCAGCCAATGATAGTTGCTCAACTTGCAATATGTCACCGCTGCTGGCTGTAAAAAACCAACATGGCGACAACCATATTGTCATCGAGGCAATTGAGGCTTCAAAATGGTACTCCATAAACCAATTGGTGATGTCATGGTAAGTTCACACTTGCTATGCTAAAATATTCTTCTAAAGTGAAAAATCTAATCTGAATCAAGGCTCTCCTACACTCATTAGTTGAAGTAAATCAAATAAAATTTAATTACTCCATTCTTGGGTAAATAAAACAACATTGGGCCTAGTTGTGTTTGATGGGACACTTAGCATTAGTTCCCCCACACCCACAGACCTTCAGGCTGGTGCAGTTGCACATCCTTTAATGCTGATAGTTACATCACGTCACATTCATTCAGAGCTGCAGTGTGTAAGTCCCGCTTTGAGTGCTCTCTCCACAGACTTTCTCTCTGATCCACTCTGGTCAACAGGGACAGATGTGCTGATGATATTGTGCACTTCAGTCTCTCCAGTGTATCCCATTACTCCACAGCGCTCAGCAGGCACTGACTTCGAATCCATTATGCAAGACAAGCTTACTAAAGAGGTGCGGGTTTGTTAAGTGGGCTAGCACAACGTCATACCACAGAGAGTTGCGAGGGGAGAGGGAGCCGTTGCATCAGTCACAGGGCTTTAACTCAGAGTGGCAGTCGTGACAGAAGACTGTCACTGAGGCAGAAGTCTGCAGGAAACGCCTGAACAGCAGCAGAGCAACCAACCTTAAAACTGTCAGTGACAGTGGCAGACAGGGCTGACCCCCCCATGATGGAAGACGATCACCACTGAAATTATTGGCTTGAGACTAGGGAAACCCGCTAGTCTGCAGTGTGAGGGAGACATTCATATTTTGGCCTGCTCTTGCAGCACCACCATCCATTAAGTTCCAGCTATTTACAATGGAAGTTGCCCAGTTCAACCACAGTGTTCTGTTAGTGCCCTTGCAGGATATATCAGGACATTGCTGTGTTGTGGGGAATATAAACGTTAAATATATATGCTAAACCATACAGGGCTGTTAGTGGTAGTTTATACTTGTAGTAAGGTTTAAACACTTCCATATACTGCAATTTGTATTGCATTGGATTGCCTATCAAGTTTTTGACTGTGAAATACTACAGGGTTTCTGCAGATGTCAACAGGTTAAATTTAAGACTTTAATACCTTTTTAAGACCTCTTCTACAGAGTCTGCCATGTTGAACCATCATGTTT